CTCTATTTCAGATATATTGATGATATATTTTTAGCAGTCAATTGGCCTATTCAACATTTCATCAAACAAGTCGATCGATGGAATCAATTTGATTCAAATATAAGATTATCTGCTAATATTAGTTTACATGCCAATTTCCTCGATCTACATATGGAGAATCAAAATGGACAATTATTTACAAAGGTTTACCACAAACCATCTTATGAACCATATTATTTGCCATTTAATAGTATCCACCCGTTACAAATGAAAAAGAACATACCATTTGCTATGTTCTTAAGAGCCATCCGATATTGCTCAACATTCGATGCATATTTACAAGAAAGAGAATCCTTAAGAATGGCTCTTCTATTAAACAAATATCCTGGTGACCTAATTACTAGCCAATTCAATCGTGTTCTATCAAAATTTGAAATTAATGATCAACTTAGTATTAGAAATTACGAAAGACTAAGAGGTCAATTAATTCAATCATCTCACTCCTCAAGAGATAGAACACCATTTGACCATGGAAAGATGATCTTCATTCATTTTACTTACTGTACAAATATGAAGTCATTCCCTACGAAATTCCACAACTTATGGCATAAATATTTCGGCAACTCACCAATTAATGAAATTACCCCAATATTAGGAACCAAAAATGACGATAACTTACAAAAACGTTTAGTGCATACTCGCTCATAATCGCAAACAATTAAAATAGCAGTGGATTGATCTACCTTTCAGATAACAGCTCTTTTCACTTACGTAGTTGGATCAATGCCAAAACTGGATTATATACATTATCAGATCAATTTCTCTGGTCATTTGGCAATCTGCCAACTATTCAATTTTATTCATATAAGAAAAGAAATCTTATGATAAAAATTGAATAACTACAACGAATGATTCGGCTGTCCTCTTATTCTTCAATTGTGTCCACTCACTGCTTTAATACATATTTTCTCGATTATGAAAACCAATCTATCTGATCATTTGGCAAATTGCCAACCATTCAAATTTAAGCAACAATTTATCCGAATCGAACCAAGTTAAAAATTTAAATAAAATCATCATATACGGCCTTATTATCAAATAAATATCTTGATGACCTTATTAGTGAACGACTCAATAGTGTCCCTTAAAAGTTCGACGTCCACGAGATAGTTAATGTCACCAACTGCGATTTAATGCTCAAGGAAGCTAGTTGTACTACTGGACCAATTCGGAAATTAGATCCCAGAATTAGACATAGTAACACGAGTCACTTTATTCAAATTATCAAAAGATTTAATCATATAAAGGATAAATCCTGACGACATTATTGGATCCATGCCAAAATAATTTATTGATGAATCGAATTATCAACAAAACTTTGGATTGGTGCCAAAAAATGACCTTGTTCAAAAAATATATTAAATGTATCGATGAATCGTACCCATACAGATCAATTCATTATCACAGTACTTGATTGATCGAACAAAACTTAAATCAATCGCAGAATATCTTTATACAAAAAATATGGTCATTTGGCTTCCTGCCAATTACCCAAAACTAACTACCTCCACTGATTCACATTTGGCTTTAATTCGAAATACGGTTGAAACAAGAAAATCGTCTCCAATTCATCTACCAATTATTAGGAATATCCCATATACATGAACAATATTCTTTTTACCTTTAACTTGTTGTTTTTTCTAATGCAGAGCCCTNCCCTCAAGAGATAGAACACCATTTGACCATGGAAAGATGATGTTCATTCATTTTACTTATTGTACAAATATGAAGTCATTCCCTACGAAATTCCATAACTTGTGGCATAAATATTTTGGCGATTCCCTAATTAATGAAATTACTCCAATATTAGAAACCAAAAATGTCGATAACTTACAAAAACGTTTAGTGCATACTCGCTCATAATTACCAACAATTAAAATAGCAGTGGATTGATCTACCTTTCAGATAACAGCTCTTTACAAAACCACTTACGTTGTTGGATCAATGCCAAAACTGAATTCTATACATTATTAGATCAATTTCTCTCGTTATTTGGCAATCTGCCAACTATTCAATTTTATTTATATAAGAAAAGAAATCTTATGTTAAAGATTGAATAACTTCAACCAATGATTCGGCTGTCCTCTTATTCTTCAATTGTGTTCACTCACTGCTTTAATACATATTTTCCCGATTATGAGAACCAATCTATCTGATCATTTGGCAAATTGCCAACCATTCAAATTTGAACAACAATTTATTCGAATTGAACCAGATTAAAAATAAAATAAAATCATCATGTATGGTCTAATTATCAAATAAATATCTTGATGACCTTATAAATGAACAACTCAAGAGTGTCCCTTAAAAGTTCGATGTCCACGATATAGTTAATGTCACCAACTGTAATTTAATACTCGAGGAGACTAGTTGTACTACTGGATCAATTCGGAAATTAGATTCCAGAATTAGACTAGTAACACGAGTGACTTTATTCAGATTATCAAAAGATTTAATCATATAAAGAATAAATCCTGGCGACATTATTGGATCAATGCCAAACTAATTTATTGATGAATCGAATACTACCTACAAATTGAACGGATTGGGACTTGATTTATTAAATGATTTCTCAAAACATTCGTCTGGGAATGTCAAACTGAACTTAAAAATTATATCCTTTCTCTTTGGACAATATGATCATCAACAAAACTTTGGATTCGTGCCAAAAACTGACCTTGTTCAAGAGAATGTATTGAATGAATTCATGAATCGTACTCAAATAGATCAATTCATTATCACAATACTTGATTGATCGAACAAAATATCTTTATACAAAAAATATGGTCATTTGGCTTCCTGCCAATTACCCCAAACTAACTACCTCCACTGATTCGCATTTGTTTCAATTCAAAATAAAGTTAAGAGAAGAAAATCGTCTCCAATTCATCTACCAATTATTAAGAATATCCCATATAAATGAACAATATTCTTTTTACCTTTGACTTGTTGTCTCTTCTAATATGTGCTCCCACTTGTGACGATCTTTTTCACATGCGCTGTACGCATGCTATTTGTCCCTACTTCGGTGCATTTTTATGTATTTTGGCCTTATCCTTCCTTCCTTTCTATCGAGAGAGGGGTATATAAACGTGTGTTTTGTATTAGAACGATGCGATTGATGATAGGAAGAAATAAAGAATGACATGATTCCATCGGGATACACATCTCTTCCATCAGAAATCGTCACACCACTTTTTTCATTTTTGTTTTTTATAATGCAGAGCCCTGATGAGTATTTGTATTTCAATAAATAATACGAAACGCGTCGGCGAACAAATTCTGAATTTTTCGATATATTTACAAAGCACATTACTTCAAGATCTTCATTCATTCATTCAGACAAAAGAACAACATCGATTGCTGAAAAGCAAGAGTTGGACATAAGCAGATTACACTTGTCTTTTCGTCAAGAGATAGGTTTGATCTGTTCTCAGCTGGTTCACCCTCACCCACACCCTCACCCTCACTATTGAATAGTTATTAATAAATAACGCATCAATTTCTCCTTGCAAGCCTTTTGAGATCGGCAACGATTGTTCTTGTACATTTGATGAACGTGTATAAAAAATTTAATTTTGAAAGATGAATGAAAGCTTGTCGATTATATCATAACACTTACATTAGATTTGCTTTTCACATGATACGGCGCGGAACAGATATAGACCTAGATTTGCTGCAATTATCTTGTTCGTAATTAACAAATTTTAATATTAAGCATACATGATATTATAAAGCAGAAGACTCGCTCATAAATTTATCTGCATCAATGAACATAATCACCCACATCTTCATTACTGATTTTGATGTAGTTGTTGGAGGGTTTATATCGACCATTCATTCATTGGTTAGTTCAAACAACTTACAAACTCCGAGCTTATATCGCGTTGTATGTGTGAGCCTCAGTGCTGTTGAGAATTTACACATTATTTTTGCAGAACTTACTTCGAAATTTAACAGTATATTTGGTTCAATTTTAATAATCATTGGTTACATTGCTAATGTTGTTTTGTATTTTCATAAAAAACTATGCGACAAAATTCAGCATCGATTTATTTTATTATATTTAATCTCGTTAATTTATTCAATATAATATTAACTCTATTACCAAAAGAATTATCAGAACAATGACTAATTACGATCTTTCTCAGCATAATATATTTGTTTGTGAAAGAGAATCTTATTTTCGATTCACATTTCCTGTTTTATCACGATATCATCTGATGTTAGCAGTTACTGATCATTAAAATAAAAGTGATTTACAATCTGCAGTTGAATGGTTTCGAAAGCATTCTGTCGAAAAACATTGAAATTATTCAGCATTCGACGTCACACTTAAGACTCCTTCGCGGAGAATGTGCTTTTTTCGTTCTCTAATTTAAAACAGTTCCGTTTTTACAATAATGACGAAATTTTGTTCTAAATTTAAAGTTCATGACTATATTTGGGCAAAAGTATCTCCCCTTCTTCAAGAACGATGGTGCAACATGAAAAACAATAACTGACTAATCGTCATTGATTGCATAACTCAAGCATATAAAACGCACAGTAGTTAACATTTAAATTTCAGTTTTTCTTCAACAAACGAATTCATCTTCCATTCAATACAACATTCTTTGAAAATGTAAGCAAGTTTTTGTTAATTTATGAATTGGCTATAACTTTTGTTTAAGGTCTAATCAAGTTACAGCACAACCCACTGATATGAATGACGTTGGACATACATTTTCCACCCTAAGCAACGAAAAATCCATTCAAACGTATCAATGTATTGAAGGATGTGGTGGACCAAAAACGTTCGTGACTATCAATGATAAACGAATCATTGTTCGACAGGTAGATGCAAGTCATTGCTGTTCTGCTGGTGCCCGTACCGATTGGTCCGTCTTTATGCGTGACATTGAGCTGCTCAAAGTACCTAGACATCAATCAACAGGATTATGTTTGAGCTCAATTCTGTTTATTTTGACGTGCAAATGCCAACCTTGTTGTTCCGAATTCTGTGGAGATGCACCTAAAATACTTGAAATAAGTGGTGGTTTTGGCACCGAATCAATCAAATTTAAAAGAGACGAATTCGAGGCAGTTGTTGATCAATTATCATCAATAATACTTCCATTGAAGAACTGATTCAAGTCTTGTTTTTTCTTTGCATTTTCTTCAAATGAAATTTTCAAAAGAATCTCATAATACTGTTTCAGACCTGTAAAATTTCTCATTATGAAATAAAATCATACTTTATAATTCGAACAGAAAATGCAATACCAAATAAAGGGTTAGATTATAGTGATGGTTGACAAATGATTACAGTACCTGTAGATGAATTCAGTTTTGTGGAAATTTTTTATTTTAGCACCGTACAGGATCTATCGATAGAATAAGGAGTAAGTGCATTTGATGACAGTAGAAATTAGTTTCTTGAGATCATTTATTTAGAGAGACTGTGTAAAATGAAAATCGAGACATACAAACAAATTTGTTCCCTCGACTGTAGAGAGGGTCATATGAAATACAATAGTTTGTCTGTTTGTTTGTTTGTGTCAGGGGCAAAGGGTGAGGGTGGGGGGTGGGCGTGGGGGGGAGGGTGTGGGGGGGGGTGGGGGG